TCGCCGACCGGCGCTGCTTGCAACACAGCCTTGCGGAGCGTTAATGCGCCGTGACCGGCGCCGCGCCGTGCGCCAGTTTGCTCGCAGGCGCCTCGTAACTAACCGGCGCCGCCGCTGTCCAGATGCGTCGCCGGCCGGTGCCGATAACCGTCTGTCACCGCCGACTGTCGCGCGACGCCTTCGACGCGGTCAGAGCGCCGCGCTGTTGTCGTTGGCGACGCGACGACGGCGCGGTCGCCGCCGCCGCCGCTCGCTGAGATACGGCCTCGAGTGTCGTCTAGAATAAGCCGGCCGACAGCGATGCGGGCCGACGCGTTCTTTATCTGCGCACTACGGTATTTGTCGCGACTGGCCGTCTGCGTGCTGCCGATTTATGCGCCCGGTGCGCCGCCGGACGGCCGGCTTTGTTCGTGCTGCTCACCGGCACCGGCCCCGTGCGCGGGTGAGTCGGCCGTGACCTGCCCGAGTGGAGGTCGGTGGCATAGGGATGTGACGCGGCTGTGACGTCACTATAACGTCACGCGATCCGGTTGTGACGGTGTGACACATGCAGAGCAGAGCCTGTCATCTATCCCAACCCACGGCCCGGGTGGCCGGTCGGCCGGCGTTCAGCCGCTCCAGCCTCACTGAGAGCCTGTTTCCTCGGTCCCGAGTTCCCGAGTTCCGACCACACACCTCCTCTGACGGACAGCAGGGCGGCGTCCGGTTACCGACGGGTGATTATCCCGTCACCCGTCCGTCTTCGGCCGGCCACCGGCGTCCGTCTGATACCCAACAGGTGCGGCGCTGCCCTGTGCTGACGGCACAGCTCCCACGTGGTGGCAGCCCGCCTTCCGACCACCGACCGTTCACCCTTTCAGCGCCCACCGCTCCCCCGTCATTTTCTCATTACGCTCGTCTATAGTTTTACCGCTATTTCTTGATATTACGCCCAATCATCGACGACGAAATTCTATGCATATTCATCGGTCGTCTCGCCGGCTCTCCTCCCCTGCTTTTCTCTCCCTCGCTGTGAGCCCGCGCTCCCCTTTCTCTGCCGCTCTCTCCCAGGGAGATCGGTGTTTTTTATCCTTCGGCCACCCTCCCTAGCTGGGAGAGTGAGCGGCGGCTCCCCAGGCCCTGACGACGACGGGCAGCGACGATTTTTAAACCGATAATTACAAGCAATCAGTGTGTTGGCGGCGGCGGCGGCGCGCTCTCAGCTGGCCGGGTGCTGTATCATGCCGAGCTGGGCCGGCGCGGTGGAGCGCTGGCAGCGGGTGAGAGATGGCACGCGGCCATCAGAGTGGAGGTGTAGAGAAACTCTGACCTGACGGTGATTGTTCTGACTATAACGTGCAGACACCAAGTAATAAACACACAAAAATGCTTAATAGCCCATGAAAGAGTTGTGTCAACATGACCTTGTTGAGGGCTGCAGCTGGGTCATTTGTCATTTTCCGTTCCGTGTCGTGCCGTTGCACTGTGACCTGACCGGACCTCGCCGTCAGCTGAGCGGGTGCAGCTCCGGCAGCCTCTGACGACACCCATTCACTCGCGGCGCCGCCGGCTGGCGTCATCCTGTCACTAATTGAGTGGGCGACCTGCCAGCCGGCCGGTCTCGCTAATGACCTGGCTTCCGGTCACCATCGCCGGCGAGTGCGCATGCGCGCTGCTCCGGCTCCGGCGGCCTACTGGTAGCACCGCTTCCTTCGACGTAATTGCAATTTCATTGCATGGCAAGATGTTCAATTATAGTGCGGCTCCATGCGAATTTATTTCTATTGGACGGCCGAGAAGTGGCGGTAATTATTGGTCTAAACGCGGCCGGGCCTCGGCGCGTCCCTAAATCATCCTTTAGCTAATTGTAATTGACTGGCGGCGATGAGGAATTACGGCTGGCAGCCGGCCCCGGGCGACGGCTTTCATTAGGCAACCCTTCCCGGCTGCGGCATTATGATTTTTATATCAGATTCCATTAAGACAATACTGGTATAATCCGGGGCCGACGGCGCGGCGCTCCCGGAGAGGCTGGGAGCCGCCCCGCCCCTCTCCCTCCCCTCTCCATTTCCTCTCCCTCGCTCTCGCTCCCTTCCCGTCCCCCGTCGCCCAGATCAAATGTGTAATTCCTTGTGTGTCAGCGATAGAAATGTCGCACAAAAACCATCGAAATGTGACACCGCAGATCGGCGCGCCATGGGAAAATCCTTAAAACGCCGCCACATGTCATGATCCGTAGCGGGGCTGTTAGAGGGCGGCAGGACGTTCCCACACACCACGACGGCTCTCTCTCTCTCTCTCTCTCTCTCTCTCTCTCTCTCTCTCTCTCTCTCTCTCTCTCTCTCTCTCTCTCTCTCTCTCTCTCTCTCTCTCTCTCTCTCTCTTTCTTTCTCTCCCTCTCTTCTCACACTCTCTTCGCGGAGGTGGAAGGAGGGAAGGATGGGCAGGTCAGGGGATCATGTGACCTGACCTGGACCCGTACGAGTCCTCTGCCTGCCGATCGCTCGGCTGGCCCACCAGCCGACTCAGCGAGTAGCGACCACCCGTACCTGCCGCACTCCCTACCCCATCAACTAGCTGCGAACGGCGCTCCCACCGTCGGGGCCCGCCCGCGCCGTGCCCGCGTCGTGCCCTGTATCGAAGGCCCCCGCCGCGCCGCCGCGCCGGCCACCGGCGTGCAGCTTGTAACGGATAGGCCATTCTGCACAATTGAAATAGCACCTCCCCTTTGGCAACTGGCGGCTATTGAAAACGCAATTGGCAAAAAGTGGGTGCGCGGGGCCATAAATTGTGGCGCTGCATTAGATACAGGCAGGCAGGCGGGAGTGGGGAGGGAGGGAGGGTGGAGGGGAATGTGTGTTCTGTGTGCTGTGTCGTGTTCTGGGGCGGAGCCCGTGCCGCCCCCGCCCCCGCCCGGAGCGGGCGGAGGCTCTGGGCGGGGCAGCTGCTCGCGGGATAGTGCCTTGTGTCCGGCTCCAGTCTCCTACGAGCTCCGAGCGTCACTGAGGCTACCGGATCGGAAAAAAACGGCAACTGATCGGGGATATTGGAACTGCGTGTGGGCCGTCTTCACATACCTCTGCCACTGGGTGCGAAACTAAACGCTGTTCTAAGAGAAGAGTGAGACAGTTGGTGCATACTGTTGGTGTATGTGATGGCTAGTGGGTAGCTGGCCGTTCCCTTCACTTGTCTCTCCGCCTCGCCCGGGTGACACTGCCCGGCGCCTGGCCGACCGCCGCTCCATTATGAGGCGTGGTGGCGTGTGACCGGCCGCCCCCGTCACCTCCGGTACGGGGCATCCGGGGCGGCGCCGCATTAGGGCGCTTTGTTCGACCAGCTCGTCCGTCAATGTTGCAGGGCGCGCGGTGACCGGTGACGGACCAGTGAGGTCGCACCGGACCGGACCGGACCGGACCGGACCCTCCCTGGTCCTGTCCGGGGTGACCTGGGGGAGGGGTAATGGTCGATCACGGTCCCTCGGTGGCCACCGGCCACCCTGCACTGTCTGGGTTTGGTCCGTCTCTATGCCACTGGACAGGTAGTTAACGGCCCGCCTGTGGCACATATCATTCCAAGTGCCTGTCATACAATTTGCATGGCCATAAACCCGGTCATGCCATGCTGTTTTATATTTCATGAAGTCGGCCTTAGAATAGCCACATCATGTAAGCATTGTTCGGAGCGTTAAATAAATAAGTTGGCAGTTAAATTGGGTGGACGCGGTGTCTGCCTGTCCAGTGCGGTATATTTTATTCTGCGGACGGCTCCGTCGTTGGGTCGTGCCTGCGACGGCCGTGGCGACCTGGCACAGCGCCATGCGCCTAAATCACCGGTGATTGTCCTGTCCTTTGACGGCGAACAGGCGCTGAGCGAGCTGTAACGGTAGCGGGCGCGCTGCTGGTGTGTAGAGGAGGTCGACATCTCTCGTCGCAGGCGTAGATCCGCCAGTGCGAGTCTTCTGTTCGCTGTGTGTGACTCGGAACTGTGGCCAACCATGGAACCCCACGGCCACCCGACTCGGCCGCTGGCGTGCGCTGGCATGTTTGCTGGCGGCTTCCGCCTCCTCGCCGCCGTAGTTAGGACTGCATTAATTATAGTTAATACGGCCGCCGTGTACCTTGTCCGGCAGTGCCGGACGTGGGAGGCGGGGGGGGGGGGGGGTCGACCGCGCGGTCCCCGAAACATGCCCACCCCTGTGGGCCGGCTTCCCCCCCCCCCCCCAGCGCGGCGTGTGAGCCGCTAATTTGGCCTGTCAGACAGCCCGTCGGCGGGACGCAGTTAGCACTGGTTTACATGGCTGTCACTGGCCAACGCCGCCCCATGGGGCCCGCGCCCGCGACGGTGGCAGCTCTGTAGCACCTTATGGCCGGCCGTGCCCCCCGCCCCTGCACCGCCGGGGTCAGGGCGGGTCAATACAGTGGGAAGTGGCGCAGCCCCCATATTGGGTGCCTCCTGATTCCAAGGGCGAGCGTTGATTCGAGCTCCAGGGCCTGAATCAAATCGGCCCGAGTGGGTGCTACAGACTTCCAGACAACGTCCTTGTGTCGATCGCATCGGACGTAAATCATCCCTACAATGGATTCTGCTAAACTCCAATTACTTACTAATACCGTGTACCGTGTATCGGGTGTAAAAATGTCCGTGTCTCGGGTGTAAAAAAGCGCGCAGTGTTGACACGAAGTCGGTGTCGGCTGGGCGGCGGCGGCGGCGCTGCAGGAGGCGCCGGTTGTCGGCCGTAACGTTTGACAGCCGGTCGTGTCGGACCGTATCAGCGCTACAAACGAGTGTGTAACACCAGACGCCGGTGGAGCACCGGGGAGGCGCGGGGGGGGGGGGAGAGAGGGGTGACGAGGGGACAGGATGAGGAGAAGGGGATGTCGCTCCACCCGTGTTCTTCCGTCTCTTCCCGCTGTATGGATGGACCCGCTGACACCTGTGTGGATGACCCGCTCAGACATGTGTGGATGACCTCACACCTGTGTAGATGTACCCGCTGACATATTTCTCTCCCGCTGTTGCAGAGAGCTGCCCTGGCCGAACGCGAGGTGGACAGTCTGAAAGAGCAACTGGCGGCCACTGTCAAACGGGCACAGCTCGCCGACGAGGCTGACGGCGGCTCCGATTCGCAACGACGCTCCGCCACCGAACGACAGCTCGCTTCCAAAGACAATGAGGTGAGCAGCGCTGTGTGTGTGGGTGTATGTACGAATGGAGGATGGTAGAGGAGAGAAATGAGGACCGCAGAAGCACTGAAGTGAGAACCTATCGTTCTTCACTAGGCGTCCCCTCACGTAAAATAATCGTTAAAAAAGCGTGAACAATGATGTAGTTATTGTTGCTAGTTCATGTACGTCGTACGTGTGTATTTACTTTCGAGGAAGTTGTTGTGCAACATTTGTCGTTGAAAGAGTTGAAGCACACTCAATTTCGAATGTAATAGTAAACAACGCTCAATGGTCGGTAATAGCCGATTCAAACAACACAGAGCTATTAAACAGTTGTAACGACGCGCCGGCCCGCCTCCCCGATGGCAGATTATATGCCTTTGCGCTTTGTCGCTGTGTCGGTGGCCGTTTGCAGTCCAGTTGGGCCATTAAGTAGCCGAGTGGGCCGGTCCGTTCAGCGATGGTAGCCAGGCTAATCGGTGCCGCCCGCGCCGGAGGTCAGGGCGCGAACCGCGCGCGCGCGGCCGGTACCGCTGGTCGACTCTACATAGTCTGTGTAGTGAGGGGAGCGGTCAATAAACGGAACACAGGAGCACGCCCAGCGTGGGGCGGCGGTCCTGAGAGCGGCGCGCCGTCCGTCAGGTGGGCGCCGTGACTCGTGCCGCCCCTCCCCCGAGGGGGGGGGGGGGTCTGTTTGATCGCCTGAGTGGGCCGATCAGCGCCGATCGTCGCTGCCGTCGCCGCCGTCAATGCCGCCGCCGGTGTGAGCATCAATGGCGCCGTCGACGTCGTTAGTCACGGTATTCACATGCGCGCTGCTGCCGCCGCCGCCGCCCCTGCCCCGGTTGACTGTTCGCCGGCCGCTTCTGATGGATAACCGATAGAGCATCCATCGACCGAGGGTGGTGTCGGGGGCTTCCGACCCTGTCCGACCCCTGGCGCGTCCTCTGTCGACAATCAGGTCACATCAGTGTCCACTGGCGTCGTATGTGGTGGTTTTGGACCTTGAGGGGGTCGTGATTGTGACCTGTTAGTGTCAGAATAGTGATGCTCGGTTTCGGGTGCGTAGTGGGTTCACATGTTGCAGCTGTTGGCTGACCTTCATGGTTTCCGCACGAGCATTGTCGGACTGACTGTTTACCTGTTTCGGAAAATTTTCCACATGCTTGGTCCTCGAATAGCATCCAAAGGTCGCTTTTGTAATCGTGCGGCTCGGTAGCCGGGTCCGGCCATTCCAGCTACGAGTTTACAGCGTAGCTGGTGTGTAACGGTTTGTGATTTTCCCGGCCGATGGCTGTAGGACACAAGCGTCTCACCTGGTGGAGGGTTCCCACGCGCGCCGCACTGGAAGCGGCCGCCGTGTTAGCCTCTGCAAGGTCCCGCAGTGCGCGGAGGTGCTGTACAACTGTACATTCCCGAGCAGCTGTGAGGTGGCACCGCATGTTCAGGAGACCGACACGCTGTTCCCAATAGTAATCCCCCTAATCGGCCGGATTACATACCAGAACGCAAAGGACCTCCATGCAACTTGTCAATATTTTTTATTGACATGCTATAGCCGACTTGCAGGTGCAATGCACAGCATTATTGCTGGAGTAGCGCATGCCTCACATGGCCCACCGTGTAAGACAGCGGTGGCGGAGAGCGGCCGGCCGGTCCGCCGGGGCTGACCTCGCGGTGTGTCCCGTTCTTTACCCGACCCTCCGCTCCGTCCCCAGTAGTGCCGATGGGACCGATGGACGCCACGGCTCGCCGGCGCCGCTGTGCGATATCAACCCTTGGAGGCCCCGCCCTGCACGTTTCTGCTTCTTATCGGCATTATCCCCTCCCTATACACCAGCGCAGCGACAGCGCCGAGCCGGGCCGGTCGTCATAATAGGCGACCAATTTGCCGCTCCACCAAATTTGCATGTACAATAAGGCGACAAGACAGTGCCGGCTTTAATTGCTTGTTTTGCCGCGGCGACCGGACGGAGGTGCGGTATCAATCAGCCCTGCCGCTCGCCGCTCTTTGTCACTTTGTCGTCTTCACTCGAGAGGGGGGAGGGGGTCGTTTGGTGATCGCTCGGGTGGCGCCGTGTCGCTATTTGACGTCCCTGACGGCCGCTTGGACCCCCTGCAGAACCCATTGTTCTTATCTTGGCTGGCGGGTACGGTGTAATGGTAAAAACGGGCCTAAAAACGACCCGGTGTCAAACGAGTGGTGAGGCGGCGGCGGCGGTGGCGGAGGCGGCGGCACGTGCCCAGACACCTCGACTTCACACGTTCACACGTGCTTACGGAGTGAAGGAGCCGAGGCGGCAAGGGTTCGTGGAATGTTCCAACACTGTGTTGACGATGGTTGGAGCTTCGGGTGTATTGATTTGGCCGAGCGCGATAGAAATCACATAGCTGACGTCAGGGAATGTTGCAGTTGCTGGAACAATGAATAATAAAACTGGTCTTTGTTTTGACGATATGCTTTGCTGACCGTCTGATCGCTACTCGGCCTAGGGTCCTGTCAATCGTGTAAGAAATTAGAAACGTCTGCGTTCTCATTTTGTATTTATTTCTGACCGATTTGTTTTTGGTTGGAGCTCTGGGGCGGTGAAAACGCCTCGACAGCCGGTGTCTGAGGCCTCGGTTGGTGGTCACTGGTCAGTGGTCACTGGTCACTGATCACTGGTCGGTCAGGGTATGACACCGATCTGTTCGGACACTGCTGAATGGCCGTGGATGGCCGCCGCCGATTGGTCGACACAGAGCTCCTCTGGCCTCCGATTGGCCAGTGGACGTCAGCGGCGGAATTTTAATGAGCGGCCGGCCGCGCCGTCTCGGGTTGCGGCGCCGGCCGGGGTGTGGTGCCGCCGCTGTTGTCATCGACTGACGGACGGCGCGGCTCCTATCGTCAATCTGCGGCCCGTGCAATCACCGCTCTGGTGCCAGCCGCAGCTGAGCCGGCCGCCGGCTGCCCGGAGCTGTGTGAGTTTCTCATGGGCAGCCACCTTCCCACCGTCGGACAGTGGACTGCGCCACGCGGAGGCCGCGCACCGCCCTGGTGGTTATTTTACGACGTCACACCGAACCCGCTGCGTCAGCTGATGATTCTGTGACGTCACTGTCTGGCCATGGCTGTCGCGTCGTTGTAAAAACCCCAGCCAGCTGGTGTGGGGAAGGCTAATCCCCGGACGCCGTTAAAAAGTCTAATCTCTCGATCAGTATTGAAGCTAATTGTGCCAGATGGAATAATGGCCGGTTTGTTAGGAGCAGCCGATAAGGTTGCAGCTGCCGCCGAGGGCACGCCCGAATTGGAACGGCACGAGACGGCGCCGTGTGTAGACAAAGCGGCTGTGGAGGGCGACATTCCGCCGCGACACGTGCCCCCCCCCCCCCCCCCCCCCAGCCGTGACGCGCCGATCGGACGTCCGATGACGCCAATTGACGCGTGCGGCCGATGGCGGCGGGCGCGGTATCGGTAAAACGTCGTCCCGTCACGCTCGGTTCGTGGCCGCTCTGCGGTGGAGCAGTGCCGATACGCGCTGTGACGGCACGCGCCCCTGCTCTGCCGGCGATGGGGAGGGGGTGGTGGGTGGCCCCTGACCCTACCCGGCCCGGCGCGGCGGCCAGCGCTCTTTGTGCAGTACCGGAAACGTCCCCTTACGGCGCCGCGATCGGACCAATGCTGTCACGCGGCACTGGCCGATACCGCCGTAAAACTGATTTATGTCGTCTTTTATGGTAAAAAGGCGCCACGGCCTTTGAGCACACAGTTCGGTCGCGTTCAATTACGTCGACTATCCGAGTGTGAAATCCGCGGTGCGGTCGGGCGGAGCGGTCGGCCGGATTTGTGGCGATACCGCTGACTGGCGACGGCCGTCGGGGTCACCGAATCGCCGCTGGTGCCGGCGTTGTTCCGCCGTCTCTTTGCAACGCTGCACTGGGAGAGGTTGAAACAGAGCCGAGAGAGTTGGTGGTATCGTGGCGTTGTTTCAATCATCCTCTCAAGCCACTATGGTCTGATTTGTAAGCATGATTCCATTTACCGTTCGAATGGGTCTCAATTGAATGAAGTTCCGAGTTCCGCGGTGTCCCGTCCCCCGCCGTCGGTCCCGGTGGGGATGGGACAGGAGGCGCGGGGCTGCGGCGGGTTCGGTTTCCGTCGACCGGCCGACCTTTTTACGGCGATCTGCGGCGACGGCAGCTCGCGCCGCCGCCGCCGTCGGCGACGCTATGCGGTTTTTGTGGGGCGTGTCGCGCCGCCGACTTCCTGTCCCCGTCGACGGCGACTGTTCCCACGCTCCGACCCGCCCCCGCCCCCGCCCCCGCCGCCGCCCGCCGCCCGCCGCGCCGGCCACCGACAGCTGCGGTAATTAAAATAAAACGGTCGGTGATTAGGCCGGCCGAGGTGGTTGCCGTCCGATCAGCTCTGCGGCCGGCCGTGCATCATAGCGAGCGGCCGGTAATGGCGCCGATAGCGGCGGGCGGCGGCCGACCTACCCGGTGGGCCGGCCGTCAGCGCGCGGCCCACCGCCGACTAGCACTGATACGGCCCCATATTTACTGCCGGGCCACTAACGGGCGGCCGGCAGCGCTCCTAGGCACACCTCATGGCAGCCGGCTGGCTGTTGAACTCGTGGTGCCGCTTCAGCGATCGTCCCGCTGCCGTGAATGCCCGCCGTGCATGCCGTGGCTGCCGACTGGTTATCGGCAGTTCGCCATGCGTCAGGGCGTGGTGATTCGCCGAGCTTAGCGACTCGCGCGGAACCGGTTGTCCCGACCGGCGCTGATCCGTGGCGGTGCTCCGGTTTTCGACCGATAAACGACGACGAGAATCGACGACCGAACGGGACGAGATGGGAGCCCTGCTGAACGGGGTGGAACGGGGCTCGGCGAAAACGGGGTAGACTGGTTAGACTGGTGGAGACGATTTATGCATGAAGGTCTGTTATCGACATGAAGGAAGCGAATGGCCGGGATAGGTGATGATGTTTTGGTGCCGTGCACTGTGATAAATACCAGTCAATGTACCATGTGTCAATTTGTGTTCCGATCGTCCATTCGTATTCCGAGTGTCGCTCCGTGCTCCGTGTGTCAGTCCGTGCTCCGTGTGTCAGTCCGTGTTTCAGGTGTCAGCCCGTCTGTCGTCTGTCGCGTGTCGTGTGTCCTTTGTCATATACGTGTCGTGTCGTGTGCGGTAAGGCGGCTGGCAGGACGAACGGAACTGGATGTCGTTATCGCCTCGATCTCGAGGTGGTTCTGTGTCGCCGGCCGGCGATCCTCACGGACCGGCTTGGACCGCCCGACGGGTCGCGGTGGCCCCGAAACAATGACGTTGAGCCGCGCCACGCTGTTCATTGTGTAGCGTATGGGTGATCTGCCGAATGTGCGCTGTGCTGTGTGATATTGACGTTGCACATTTCCTTGCATTGCAGATCTGTCAGCTGGTTGAGGACGTGCAAAGGCTGCAAAGTCAACTATCCGAGCTCGAAAATCAGTCCGTATGCCAAAGAGCCAAACTCGAGGAGGAGCTGTCGCAAAAGAGCAGCATCATTCAAAGGCTCGAGGCGATTATTGAGCAGCAAAAGGACTATGAAGAGCTCAAAAAGGAATTCTCGTAAGTCCCTTTGTAATGATGATTTTGGATGCCTGTTTGCTGTTCTGTAGTGTTGCAATATGTAGACTGAACGGCTTACTGACCTTTGCGACTGAACGTAACGTGCAAACTTGCAATCGGGCGTGTCGTAAAGATATACAGCCGGTGGGCTGGGGCGGCCGGCCTACGTATTGATTGGGGCCTTAAGTCGCTCCAAAGACCCTTATCGGTGGCTCATAAGCCGTCAGCGGCTGTCACACACAGAGGGGGGTCTGTTTGTCGGCAGGATCCTGAAATCGATCGAGTTTCCTGGCACGTCCCAGCCGTCGGCCGGCGGCGCCGATGACAGATCTCAGTCGGAAGCCCGACCGCTCCAGGTGCTCATGCTGGAGAAGAGCAAGGCCATGCAGAACGAGAACACAGCGCTCAAAGTGAAGACCTCCGAGCTGCAGGGTGAGTGGGCCGCTGACCTGACCCCGGGTCACGCCCTGTACCCGCCCCGCCCCGACCCCCGTCCCTGCCCCGTCCAGCCCTGCTTGCTCCCTCAATCGTGTCCTTAGCGCACCTTGGACAGTGCGTTCGGTCCGGTCGGGCGGCGATCCGGTGTTTGGCGTCTTGCGAATGGCCTGTAACTAGCACAAAAGGACAACGTATCGGTACCAGGAACATACCGACAACTGCAGCGAATGAGACGGACAGCTTGTTCGCACACTTTTATCGGATAAATGTCGTTTCAAATCGAAGCGTCAGCTCTCGTCTGTTTCTGTCATTGGAATTCAAGCCGTGTTCTCATGTCGACAAAGTGGCTATCTGTGGAGCATATCGGACCGAGTGTGTCACAGACGACTTGTGAGTAATGGTGGACGTCGGTGCCGCGCACCAAGACACATGTTTTTGCGGCCATTACTGCAGCTGACATTTTCGCCGTGGTCGCCGCCCGTCCTCCGCAGGCCGCTGTGGCCCCACGCATACCGCCCCGGTTTGGTCATGGCTGGACTCAAAACATAGTCCGGTCTGCCGAGCCGGCGAGCGTGGTGTCCACAGCGTGCTAACCAGCCATCTACCCCGCTGTCATTCCCCTGTTTAGATTGGGTTTGACCCAGATGTTAATGCACGCTCTGGTGTCCCTCCTCTCTTCACCCCGCTCCAGCGACCAACACCACCCTACCCTCCCCCGCCCTGCCCTGCCTGCCTCGTAGAAAAAGGTGCTTTGAGTTCCGCCCGCCGCTCCTCGCTTGCCCGGCTGGCTGTCCTGGATTTTGTTGGCGCTGGCTAGCGGCTGAATGTTTTGTCCGCTGCCGGAGACGACCCTGACACCAGTCTCCGTCTCCCTCGGGCTGTCCGGCCCCGCCAACCCGTAGTCTCCTCCCGCCCGCATGTCCTGTCACGTGCTCTCGTCGTGCAGTGGCACGACCTCGTCAGACGGAGAGCAGAGATCGAAATTCTGAGCGGCGGGGAGCGAGCGGCGAACACAGAGCACCTTTCTCTTGCAGGCCTGGGCTTCCCGTCCGGGGAGTCGGCATTCGTGGGTGGTATCGGCGGCATCGGCGCGCGTCGGCCGCCGTTCCTGCCGGCGCCGCCGTTCGCTGCCGCCCCGTTCCCGTCGGCCAGCGGAGCTCTGGCGTCGCTGGCGTCTCAGTCAGCGTCTGCCTGCCTGCTGCCGCCGCCGCCGCCCACCTCGTGCGCTCCCCCTGAGCACGTGGCCTCTCTGATAGGCGAGGAGAGCTGGCGCGGCCCCTCGGACGCCGAGGAGGCGGCCAGTCCGGACGGCAAGTCGAGTCCGGCGGCCACCGAGCCGCTGCCGAGCCCGCGGCCCAGCCCCAGTCCGGCCGAGCACGCCGCCACAGTGGCTGCCGCCGCCGCCGCCGCCTACCGCTTCGACGAGACGGACCGCGCCGACCGGCTCATCCCCAAGGGCGACCCGATGGAGACCCGGCTCCAGGAGATGCTCCGCTACAACATGGACAAGTTCTCCAACCAGAGTCTGGACACGCTGCAGCTGGCGCGGCGTGTGCGCGAACTGCTCAGCGTCAACAACATCGGGCAGAGGATGTTCGCGCGCTACATCCTCGGCCTGTCGCAGGGCACTGTCAGCGAGCTCCTCAGCAAACCCAAGCCCTGGGAGAAACTCACAGAGAAGGGCCGCGACAGCTACCGAAAGATGCACGCCTGGGCGGTCGACGATGCTGCCGTCTACCTGCTGAAGGCCGTCATACCAAAGAAAGGTGAGCTGCTGTTGTGGTGTGGGGTTGTGGGAGTGTACGCATTACACAGTGTCCGCCGACGCACATGTGCATGAACACTGATCAGGGCACGCGGGAAGCAGGTAAGTGACAGAAACAGGGCACAGAGCACGGTCTCAAGCGGCTGGGACGCGGTGTTGCCAGCCGCGCTGCATTCTGACGCGACTGGCTGATGCAGGAGGCCATAAACGTCGTCTGCCGACAGCGGCTGTTGACTCGATATCGACAGGTGTCAAGCCTCCCTGTCGGTTTACAGCCCGCGCCCGGTTATCTGGCTCCCGGGGCCGATAGCTGGCGATGGGAGACTGCCGTGCCGCCGGCTGACTTTGGTTCCGCCACACTGCACCTACGGCACCGCAACGGGGCGGGCTGTGTGCACCGACGACCTATGATAACAGTACGCGACATAGCTGAGCTCACTGAGCTGAAATGTGGAGGGTTCGCCATCGCCTGACCTGATACTGATCCGGCGGCCGGTGGGCGCGTTCGTGTCTCGCGACCGTCAGCAGCCAGCGGCCTGCAACAAACGACCGGCTTCTGAGCCGCCGCGCATCGGTAATTAAATCACGATATGCGGCGGGGCGTCACGCCGCGAGCGCGGCACCCATCAGCCACATTGGCCGCGGAATAAACATCTGGCGCGGCGGCCGAACACAAAGTCGTCAGGCGGACCGGCCGGATGACAAGCTCGTATGGTGGGTCGTCATTAGTTCGGCCCCATTGGCGGGCCTTGCCGTAGCCTTGGCTGGCGGCTCTGCACAAATATACACGGCCTGCAGCGCTCGGATGGCCGGCAGAGCGCTGCGACAGGCCGCCGCCGCCGCTGTGGTCGGCTCCGGTCGGCAGACCAGGCAATGAGGCGGTCTTGCGATGGATGAGGCCCTCCGCGTCCTCCCAGTGTGCGTTTCTCGGGACTCGTCGCCGACTCCGTTGTCTATCGTTTCGTGGGAGCGCTGCTGCGGGCCGATCCGCCGACTGATGTCCATTTCCGCCTGTGAGCCGGTCAGTGTGGGAGGACGCCAGCTGGTGGTAGCTCGCCACAGCCGACCGGCAGATATAGCCAGATTGCACTTTATGGCCGCGGTGACGATTGGCTCCGCGATGGTAGGGTCGGGGGGAGATGTGGTGGTCGTACTCGAGCGGTGGGGACTGGTTGGGATTACGGACGTCAGGGGCCGTCACCAGCCCAAACCGATATGTCCGATGGGCGTGGCACGGTGATGTCCCGGCGCAGGGCGGACCTGCACCGCCCCGTGCCGGTCGCCGAACGGGGAGGGGACGAAGGGAGGGAGGATGACTCTGGGCGCACCCGACGACCAAACGACGGCCATATAGTATAGGGTCGCCGCCACGATTTACGACGTGCAGTAAATCTCCTATTGTTTCGCAGTTTATTGGTTGCAATATTTCAGGGCCTGCCTGCGTCTTATCGATGGTGCACGATAATGAGAGCGCTATTGACACGTCGCGGGGTGCGGGACGCCCGGTGGGGATGGGTGCAGCTGCGGCCGGGACGGACGGACGGGCAGATGGTCGCGCCGCGTGCCGGGTGCGCTGACCACGTCCGGCGTTGCACGACCGAGGTAGGTGCAGCTCGCGCGGCGCTGTCCCGCGCACCAGGTCCTGTCGGCGAGCTCCGTCCTCAATGGAGACCGATGGCGAGCACATGTTGGCGCAATTGGTTCCGAGTTGGTGACCCGAGGAACTGGCGTGGAACGATGCGGTGATTCTGGTGCGTAGCTCGGCCTGCAGACGGCCCAGAGAAATGGCACAGAGAGGACGGCTGCCTCGCATGTCAACCGTCTAAGGACCGCAGTATATCGGTTGAAGAATGGCCAGTTTCAGGCAGCTGTGGCGGCGGCGGCGGCGGCGGTCGTGGCGGCTGCTCCGAGCACTGAAAAGATGTCATCATCTTGCTTCAGAAGAAGGAATCAACAGTTCTTCCGCTAATCAAATACAGCTCAAGCCATTCGACGGCGACCGTCGCCGGGTAGTGCTGTTCGCCGAGCATCAGATCTGTCCCCGTGCAGGGCTCATCATTCAGCCCTGCCTGCGGAGGTCGGGCCGGCGCCGGTGCAGCGTGCCGAGCCGACCCGTGCCGGCGGCATCTCGAAGGGAGTGGCCCTCCGCTCATTGAGTGCCATCAGCCGGCAGCCGAGCTGACTCACCAGCGCCAGCGCGCACGTGGTCAATAGGATAATGGTGGGCGGCAGCGGGCCTTGTGCTCGTCCGACCAGCCGCCCACTCGAGCCGAGGACGGCCAAGGAAACTGGCCATACTTCCGGCACTGGCTGCCCGGAATATGCTGAATGTGCGGGAAAATGCCAGAGAGTTGTAAGCAGAGTTGAATACTGTGTTTTTACCATGAGCCATCAGGTAAAGATTCTGCAGAATGGCATTTTAATAGCCGCGTTTGGCATGTCTTGGAGTTCTCACCGGGTTTCATGGTGACGAAAATCGAGTTACCTATGAAGCTCGGCACGGGGCATAGCGCTGAGACCCTTGCCGTGCCCTGCGTGGGGGTAGGCTATCTTGTGTGGCGTGCGGCGCGGCTGGCAGTCAGGCCGTCGGGCAGTGACCGGTGACCCGACCCACCCCGGAACAGAGGACCGGCGGCGGCGGCGGCCCCATTAGCGCCGGTGCGCCGTCCGTTCCGGCGCCTCTCCTACCGCCCCGGTTCAAGTCCGGCTGTGCCGTGAGCGGCCACAGTCTGTCCGCCCGGGGAACAGCGGCGTCTAGACGGAGAACCGTGCTGGGAACTGCCGCCCGACGACGGCCAGTGGCTGGGTCGAGTTTGGATTCAGAGGTCAATAGGGACGACGGCCATAGCAGACATTGGCAGGATCGTGATGTAGTAACTCCGATACTTACCCCCACATTGATGTATTCGGTGCGGTTTTTGCGGGGGCCAACAGAAGTATACAATCGTGGTATGCGATCCTCGCAGAGTTGTATCTGCCGTAATTACGAATCGTTCAAGAGATTACCTCTACCACCAAATGGATATTGACATACGTGGTTTTGTCAAAATGGTATCAGGAACATTGTGTTTTTGCTTTTGACCTGAATCATATTACTGGTGTCCAAACAGGTTATGCTGCTTGCATCTAGGAAAAGAGGTGCTCCTCGGGGACGTTACTTTTGGGAATGTGGGATGAAATTCGTCGATCTGCGCAACCCGAGCCATGGGGGACGCCATGATTAGGAGACAGGACTGGCGTCAGCTGCCGGTCGCTGGTGCGGCGTGACAGAGCCGGTGTCGGTCGTAGCTGACTTCGCGCCCCGCAGAGGCAGGATCTGTCCAGTATCCACGGAGACGGCTGGTCTCCGGTGATCGCTGCGTCGTGCCGTGCCGGGTGGGATGAACTGCCGCCCCGGTAGCGCCGGTAGGTAGCGGCCACCGCCAGGCTCGACGCCATGTTTGGTCAGCGCGACTCTGCCGCTGACCGGCGGCTGGTCGGCGGCTGAGCGGGCGGCTGAGCGGGGGCTGAGTCTGCTGATCCTGCCAAGCCGGTGCTGCATGCTCCAGCCATGGCAGGTGCTCACAGGTGGACCGGCACAGGTGAGAGCCGGGTGAGAGTCCGGCGGCGACGTCTCACATTGGTACGGCTTGGACCTGGGCCAGCTTATAATGGCAACGCACTTGACAGATGCGTCTGCGGGTCTAAGCTGCTTTTTTCCTGACCCGCTGGAGACATCACTCAGATACATCATTGAAAGGGCGCCTGGGTCAAGCTCGAATAGTCGGGACAATGTCAGAAAACGGCAGTGTTAGTCGCGGCTGTTCAGTGTGTTTATTTAGCGTTTCGCGGTCTCGGCTTCCCGGCTTTTTTATATCTGTGTGAATGCTTCGATCAAATCTGCTCTGATAAATATGACAGCTCAAAGACACAATTGTCACCCATGTTTATATAAGTACATAAATGTTTAGGTAATCTGGTGTTAGTGAGCGAAAACATGACGTAGGTAAATGAAAGGATTAGATAAATAATTCCATTTCAGCATTCCACAGCGAGAAAATCAGTTTTTCATCCGTGTGATCCTCGTCCATTAATTACCCATTCTAAACAAACCATCATCCAAAAAGTAATGGATCAAACATAATAATGATCACGCTCATGCTTGACAGGGTTCTTTGGTTGCCGCCCGTCAGAGCTGTTGTGAAGACTCCTTTCGTTGAGGAGACCCCGTTTGGTCCACCTTTCAATCACGCGCTCAGCGCCGTTCCGATAAGGTCAGAGGTCAGCCTCGGCGCGACCGCCCAGGGGTGGTCCTCAGCCATTTATGCGCCTTTAATTGCCGGTCCGCGGACGTATACCTCGTTAACATCCCCGCCGAGAGGAAGAAAAAACCTTAAATTGGGGCCGGTATGTGTGCTGGCGTGGCGTGGTTCCTCGGGCGCGTGGCCGGCCGCCCCGGGGCTGGCCTGTAGCGCAGTGCCGTCATCCTCAGGCGGTCAGGTGTCTCGATGACCCCATAGCCAGCTGGACTCCTTTGTAGTCGCGAGGGGGGTTGCCGATGAACCGATCAGCGACCAAGTGCGTGCCTGCCATGAGTGGACGACCGCCGCCACTGCTGGAGACTGGCACCGCGGATCGGGCTCGCTGGAACTCACACATATTTAATGTGAGCCAGCAACTCGGGCATATTTAATGCAACCGACCGACCGAACTTTGCAGCTTGACGTAGCGGTTCGGGAGGTGGTACCCGGTAGGAATCTGTAGTGACTCTTCCGATGCTAGAAATGTCTTGCCAAGGTATTGCTTCCGTATATGACGGCGGTTTTCTTGTCCAGATGTGTTGCAAACTTCCAAGGTGTCCATCGATGAGTAAAAACTTCTACCGTCGCGGCCACTGTCCCCGGTTGGCGTGCCTCGTCCGATCGGCTCGGCGTCGGCGGACCAGTATTAATCGGCTCCGAGCATGGCACCGACCGACGGACGTCGTTAACGATGCTCAAGTCATCGAACGCGACGCTTTGCGATGTTCGGGCGCCGCTCGAGTGTCAAACGGACACGTTGGGGCTCCGCTCGAGGGGCGGTTGTAATGTATGTAATTGCGTAGAGCTAC